TTTTTAGAGCCTCAAGAAATTCAAGCTAGTAAACAGTTAGTAGCAACCTGTGTTCTGTGCTCTGTAGACCCAGGAGCCCTACTAAGGAGGCTAGTCTTCAAGAACAGCAGCCTCATGTAGTATTCATGGGGCACTAGCACGTGTCTCCTGATACCCCGAGTCACAATTTCCATGGGGAGAAGGTGGTCCCATTCCCTATACAAGAGTCCCTTACCCCAAAGGTATGTCCCCTTGCATTCCTCATTAAGTGGATCGAGCCCCTAGTCCTCCCCTAGGAGGTTCACTCTGTAGCTCTTTTCTGAGCTCAGAGGTTCAGGCATGGAGTCCTCATTTCCCTCCTCCCCTGCCTAATTTTTCTTGTTCCCTTTTACGATTACATATGCAGTACTATGCATCTAACCTTAGTTTCACCAATTTAACATTATGGTTTTATCCATTTAGCTCAGACCTAGGGCATCCACTTCCAAGTTTTAGAATACTTGGGTAATTGCCTGACGTCATTGCAGAATCACCAGCTTTTTTTTTTTTTCTTCTTCCTGAGAAGTCATGGAGGTGTCATGAGGTCCCAGAAGATTGGAAAAGAGCACATATTATGTCCATGTTTTCATGGACAGATGGTGTGGTGCATTCGTCACATATATCACAACACACTTTTCTCCAGGTAAGGAGAAATTAGGTAGGATCCTAAGGCTATATTATTCAATTAAAGATTGAGGCAAAAACACATGCAACTTTACTGGAATGTGCGTTCATTATCCATATGATATTTTCAGTATCAAAACACAACAAATGAGGCAAATAATAAAAAAAAGATGTTGTTTCATTATTCCTGTAATTATTTAAATTAAATTTATGTTTTATTCAGATTCATAAAATAAAATCTAACTTTGTGTGTCTTGACAATGCATCTAGTATTTCACTGACAGTTAGCCCCAGTAGGTCATGAGTGTATTAGACACAATCTTACCATGCTGCTAAGTTGAGTTGGGCCAATGGTGTTTGGACATGGTGCCACACACACCTGGGAAACCTATACCACTTGGGTAGACAGGCATAATAGCCATGTGAGCCACCCGCTCCACACCTGAGGCCAGCCCTGCTGTGCCAGTGCATTGGAGATATAGAAATGAACTCCTTCAACCCTGGCCATGTCTGAGGAGCTGGCTATGTGCTCCCTCTCCTTTGATAGCTTCATCACACAATTTACTACACAAGTCTGCAATGCACAGACCTGTTCTAGGGCTGCTCTGGCCCCCAGGGGGGCTGCTTGGGCCATTTGAGCCAACAGAGCCCTGAGTGCCACGGGAAAGATCATACTGTTCAACGATCTCCTTTCCCTGGTATGAAATGGGGGTCGTTCTTCTCCCCAAACCCCATACCTGTTTCCCCCTTCTGGGAAATTTCAGAACTAGTCCTACTATCAACAGGTTCATCAGCCACTTTGCCCGAGCACTTTGTGGAGCCCTCCTACCTGTGCCACAGACTCAGCTCAGGAGGTGGGCAGGGGGGAAAAGACACGCATCTTGAGCTAATAATACAGTGCTTACAGCAGTGGAAGGCTTTAGAAATCAAAACTGATAGGAATTTCCTCCCAAACACATGAATCCATACCATGGATCTGTGCATTTTGTTGAGGTGATGTTGGGAACAGTCTCCTTTTCAATTTTTGTTGCATATTTCCAAGATATACAGCTTGGCAGCTTCCTGTTTCCTCCTTCCTACCTTTTTTCCATGATGTAATACATAAACCAAATTAATATATTTTATGCAAATTTTATGGACCTAGTTGGTTAACAGTCACTTATACTTTTTTCATGTTTGAGTCTGCTAAAGGTAGAAGACAAGGATTTAATCAGAGCTTTTTTTTTTCACCTTTAACACCAAGGGCTCCACTGCTGAACTCAGTGGAATATAATGGGTATAAAACTGATACAGGTGGAAGGAGAGTCAATACAAAAGTCCTGCTTTAACAAGTGGGCGTTTGAAATGTCCAAATCTAAACACATGACCTATTTCCTCCACGATTATGGCTATACAGGATGTCAATCCCACTTGAGGTGCTAGCTACATTCAAGAATCATGTTCAATCTCCCATAATATAAAGTGTGTGTGGCAGAGGGGGAGGGGATGAGACAGGAAGAAGCTTCTTGACACCTTTTCTGAAGTGATTCAATGGTAAAGGAGGCAAAATGCCCTTGATTCTAGAAAACCCCATCAGTGCCCTTCTGGGCTTCGTTCAGTCCTAGCACAGATCAGGAAAGTAGACCTCACATCAGTTTTGGTGGAGGACTGTGCATTTTCCAGCCAGCTTTAGTAAGGCTCGTAGGACATCCCTGTTTCTCAGGCTGTATATGACGGGATTCAGAACTGGGGTGACAACAGTGTAAAACACAGCAACCATCTTGTCTTGCTCTGGAGAGTGGCAAGTGTTGGGTCTGATGTACATGAAGATAGTTGCCCCATAGTACAGCCCCACCACAGTCAGATGTGAGGAACAAGTGGCCAGGGCTTTCTGCTGTCCTCTGGCTGACTTCATCCTCAGGACTGTAGAGAGGATACAAGTGTAAGAGGCTAGTATGATGGAAAAAGGGATGAGGAGCAGGACAATGCTACTCATGAACACCAGAGTCTCGTATATGGAGGTGTCAGAGCAGGACAGTTTCAGCAGGGCGGGGACCTCACAGAAGAAGTGATCAATGTCTTTTGAACCACAGTAGGGCAGATGCATAGTATAAGCTGTATGGATTGAGGCGTTCGCTGTTGCACAAACCCAGACAGCAGCTGCCAGGCTCATGCACATTTTCCTGTTCATGAGAATGGGGTATTGAAAAGGATTGCAAATTGCAACATATCTGTCATAAGACATGACAGCCAGAAGGAGACCCTCTGCTCCACCCATCATTAGCAGCAGGAAAATCTGAGTCCCACAAAGTGCCAGAGAAATAGTGTTGCCCAGGATCAGAAAATCCATTGACATTTTGGGGATAACAATTAGGCTTGGACCCATGTCCATGAAGGCCAATTGCCTGAGGAAAAAGTACATGGGAGTGTGAAGGGAGAAATCCATTAGGATTAGAAACATGAGGAGAGCATTTCCAGAGAAGGCAGTAATGGAGGCCAGTAAAATCATGGCCAGGAAGATGGTGTGGACTTTGGTGTGCTTCAGGAGTCCCAGCAGGACAAATTCTGTTGCTGAAGTTGCATTGCACCTTCGCTCCTTCTCTTCACTGGGCTGGGCCTGAAGGAAATGAGGAAAGACCAGAAGAAAAAGCTCATAGAGTGGGCACACGTTTCTTGTTGTGTAAACCCTTTGGTGCCAGATTCAGAAGCACTTCCCCTCTTCTGTGAAATGGCTGTCTGCTCAAAATTGAAGAAACAGCCCTGGCCGCAGAAAAAAGAAACTTGCCTGCCCTGAGGATATTGCCTTCATCAATTGACTGTCTAGCCAGAATCCCTTCTGCTTGCTGGTCCCACACACCCTGCTCCCCTTGTTCCCGTCTGGCCCATCTTCAGCAGAAATATTGTAGGGGATCCCACCCAGCTGATTCTATGGGCCTGTGATAGGGAAAGTTGGGAAAATATGTTTCCTGAAACATTTCTTGTGTTGAAAAATGATTTTCCTTTCATTTTCTTATATCTACATACTTTAGACACAGAAGCATTTTTCTCTAGATCACTGTTTTTCAAACGTTCTGAAGTCATGAAAATCTTTATTGTCACTTCTTTTGCCATACAGCCCCTACCCCTATTTTAAAGACTAATGCAGAACCGGGTGACACGGCCTGGCATTCATCTTTCATTTGACAGGGGTCTGTCCTGGGCCTGCTGTTGTTCAAAGTGTTTATTAATGTTTTGGATGCTGGCATAGAAAGCTTCTTGAGCTTATTGAGCAGGAAACTGGGAAAGATGGTGAACAGAGAGGATCTTGACATATTGGCAAGCTGGGCTAGAGCAAACAGGATGAAGTTCAATGTGGACAAATGCAACATACTACACCTTAGGAGCATGGACGACTGGTGTCACCTTAGTCAGGGGCCACCCCCCAAGCAACCAGTCAGTGACTGGGACCAATCTCAGCGATGGCGGGGGAGAGGGGTGCCGTGGCTGATCACGAAGTGGCCGCAGTGCTCCCAGAAGTCATAGAATCATAGAGTCATAGAAGTAGGGTTGAAAGGGACCTTGTAGATCTTCAAGTCTGACCCCCTGCCTGGGCAGGAAGAAAACTGGGCTCAAATGACCCCAGCCAGGTAGGCATCAAGCCTCTTCTTAAAGACCCCCAGGGTAGGAGCCAGCACCATTTCCCTTGGAAGTTGGTTCCAGATCCTAGCCGCCCTGACTGTGAAGTAGTTCTTATGGAGGTCAAGTGGTTGCAGCACTCCCGGAAGTAGCTGTAGCTCTCCCACTCCCTGGCTGGCACTTGCAGGAGGGGCACCGGCGCTCTTGCTTGCACCCCCTGCCCATCGCCTAAGCAGGGAGCACGGCCTGTCAGGGGGTACAACGGCGCTCTCAGGGGGTGAATGTGCCTCTCAGGGGGTGCATGTGCCTCTCTACTCGGCACTGTTTAGGCCTCCCCTAGAGTACTCTGCGCAGTTCTATCCACACAACTGAAATGTTCGACACACGTGTTTTTTAATATGTCTGGCAGGTATGTGACATAGTTAATGAAATCAGGCAGGCAGTTAAGTGCAGTCATCTATACTGTGGCCTTGACCCTGCAAAGGGTCAGGTGCACATATGACTTTCTGGATGATAGCTGAGCTTGCTTCCCTGAGGACAGATACAGGCTGTAAAGGCAGGAGTGAGAGAAAGTACAGCTACACACAACTGTCAGGCTTTTCAGGAGCAAAGAAACCAAAGCTTGTTGGTACTTGCTACTGAATGGGTCAAAAGGACAAATCATGGACATTTAAATTTGATTAGCTGCAAGGCATTTCCCTAGATGGGAGATTTTAAATGAAATCCTGACCCTGTTGAAGTTACTTCATGTGGTTTCTCTGTGATGTCCACATACCCCTTTAACCAAGTTCTGTACACCACTGTTTCTGCTTTCCTGATAGGAACGCTGTGCTTTAACTGAAGATAGAATACAAAATCATTCCTGAAGTTATCCACATTTCTATGTAATCCTTATCATGTTTTAGTATCTTTCAGCTAAAAACTTAAAATAGTAGCAAAACAAACGTTATTATTTATACTATCAATGGCAATAAGAATGAATGAAATCGCATTAGCCCAACTCAAATAAAAGAAAAATTATTTTAAGCAAGCTTTCAGGTATAAATACATTTCATCAAGCTCTAAGCTTGCAAAGAAGAATTTTCTCCAACTATTTGAGATGGTCTAATAAAACTTATAAGATTTACCAAAAAAACCCTCTCTGCCTATGTCCCTAGACCAACATGGCTACAAGCTACACCCCTGAAATTGCATTTACTTTTATCTTTAGTAAAAAGTCAGAATTGAGATTATGTAACACGAGAATGGTGGTACTCTTATAAAAGATAAATATTTCCATAAATCAAAACAGCTATAATCAGGAGACGTATGGCAGCAGTACTCACTTACCTTCATCTGTCTGATCTAGTCCTGAGAGCAGTCCAGGAAGGAGAGGATTTTGAACTCCTGAGCCAGCAAATCTTTCAATTCTAGTCTACTGTGTTTGAATCTAATCCTAGAATATAGTCGTTTTTACCTAAACTCTGGTATATAAACAATCACAGCAGATCCATAATTATGAGATCAAAATGTACTGTAATAGGAAAAGACCTATGCCACTCCTGTAACACTCATTTTTATCACTGATACATTTGTGGTTCCAGGAGTACCAAAAGCACAATGTCTCACTGCACACCCAGAATAGGACCACTTTAGGAAATGTGTCCGTCTCATAACATGGGGCAGTACTATTTTCCTAAGGAAAGGAATTGGTTCAAAATATTTCTTGTATGAATTCCATTCACTTTCTCAAAATAATACACTATGATAAAGTTCCGTGCCTGAAGTCAGACGAGATCTTTGTGGCCCTTTTTATTGATTAAAAATGGCACGAACAGCAGTGGCCTAAGATAACCCAAAATCAATACCAAAAAGACCTCTGGACCCTTCACACTAATCAAAGGGATGTAACAACACTGAATCTCCAACTGTCTTCTACAGCTACCCATGTCAACGGCTTACTGAATTGAAAGCACAAGTCATTGTCAGCA